CGACGGATCAGCAGGCGTACAGCAAGTTCGAGGAAGAGCAACGTGTGGATCAACACCATGCCGATGCAGAAGCACTCCTTCGCAAGTTGCAGAGTACGCAGGAAGCAAATAATGAACAATATAAATTTCTTCGTATCGATCGACTCATCAATTCCATCAGTGAGGACGCTACTACGAGGACAACTGGGGCTGTGATGATGCCGCAATCACATCATCGCACAGGAGATGCCCCACGTCTACAGATGGTAGACCCACAGTTGGACGCTGTGCAGCACTTGGAACATCTTCAGCTTACTCCCACTCAGACTATGAAGCAGTCTAGAATGGTTTCTTCATTGTCGCACAACGTACCGATCCGTTTGAAGAAGTTAACGCTGCCGCACTTCGATGAAGATGTCACCGAGTTTCAGCAGTTTCGGTGTGCGTTTAAACAAGCTGTTCACAACAATCCCAATATCGACCTCAACATGAAATACCTCTACTTGATGAATCTGATTGAGGGAGAAGCTCAAGTGGTTTTGCAGGATCTTGAACCAGGTCGGAACAACTACCATCAGTTGGTGCAGGCATTGAGGAAGCGATACGATTGCCCGAGGAAGACCAGAGCGCTACTCCATCAGCAGCTCAGAGATCTTCACCCCGCAACCGAATCAGTTTCAGACATGCGTAACACTTGGTTCCGGTCGAAGATTTGAATCGTGTACTTTGTGTTATCGACCTCGTACGGACTAAGTTTCCCCTGTCTATACGGGAGCGGCTTAGTAACGTCGAGTTCGAGAAAGGAGCCGATTTCGATCTTCAACAAGTCATGTCTCACCTTGATGACCTTATTTCGTCTAAGAAGAGGTTTGAGCAGACTTGCTTTCGCAATAATACGTACATGATTATTAGAGATATTCCCTCAAGACGCCTGTCTACGCCTCGGAGATCATTCCATGATCCAGCCGCATGTTGTTTTTGCGACTCCCCTTCGCATTCTTCTCGTGGATGTAGCCAACAACTCCTAGCCAACGTGCACCGTAAGATCGTGCAACTTCTGAGATTGTGTTGGAAGTGTTTTCGAGAAGGATATTCCCAAAGCGATTGCGACCACCCAGCAAGGAATGTGGAGGTCAGCATCATCGACTACTCTGTGGAATTACGGAAAAAGAGGATTGTACCCTTTTTTCATAGTTCCGCAAGACGTCATCGGTCGTCTGGCTCGTCTAGTTCGTCTGAATCGTCATCGGACAGGAAGCCAGCTGCGCAAGAAAATGATCAATTTGGAAAATCCTCGAATTTTGAAGATCCAGCACGG